ATTTTTCGTTAATTTAACCACTGTATTGAATAAATACCTGGGGTTATGTTTGTTTTCTTCTAAAAGAGACGAAAAATAATCAGATCTAGCCAGTCCTGATCACTGAAGATCACTGAATTCAATGATGAACTGCCTTTAACTGAAAATTGAGTGTTTACTATTGTCCTTTTGCATTGACACACTATTTTCCTATTTTGATACTGTAAAGCTGCTTTGACACAATCTCTATTGTTAAAAGCGCTATATAAATAAAGGTGACTTGACTTGACACTTACCTAAAAGTCCCACCTTCTTGCAACGCATCAGTATTTAGTGCTTCCTTTGAGACCCAGCTCTTGGCAGAGATTGTGTTTTCATCATGAGTCATCAACAGAAAATGAAGTCGCTTCTTTAAAGTTTTTAGAAATTCAGCTGGTAACATAAATACCTAAATATCAGTGATCCATTATAAGACAGTTAATGAAAGCTATAAAGAATAACAATAGAAACAGCGATCTCTCACCGTGTAGAGTCTGGTTGTCAGCCAAGAGCATTAGCAGAATCTCTACTCTCTTGGTGCTACGGGTGCTTGCCTCTGTCTGATCTCTTAGCATGCCAACTGCACTCTGAACACAGCTTCGCACTAGTGCTGTGGTGTCCAAAATATTCTTCCAGCCCCGAAGAGCACAAGAAACACAAAAACATCTTCACTTACCGAGTCTTCCTAGACATGTACTGAACTGAACAGGGTGGCAATAGTATCACAAAAATACTGAAAATATAGTGCTGTTGTTGAGGTTTGTGGCTCACAGTATTGTCTTCTAGCTCCATCTTTTCTTCTTCTTCCATGTACATCTCCTCAACCTCCATAGCTGCAAGCAATTAAAAATGATTTGAATTTTTTGAGAATGTGGATCATCCTTTTAAAAATAAATCAATATTTTAAAAATAAAATGACATCACCTTCAGGCTCATCTGCTTCCTCTTTAAACAACTGGCTAATGGTCAGACATTGCAAGGCTTTTATATCAGAGACAATATCTTTTGATCTTCTGAGGTCATCAATGTGGACTGATTTCCATGGCCCTTATAAAAGAAACTTTAGAGATGAGATTTTCGCTAAAACAAACAGTGCTGGTCATTGATGAAATCAAACTCGTCTTACCGCCATTAAACCCAATGTAGGAAGTTCCACCGTCCATTCTGGGTAGTTTAGTGATGAAGTACACAAAAACCTTTTGATTGTCCTCTTTTCTGAATTTGTTGATCTCATTGATAGAAGAATACCTGGAAATATATTTTAAGTTCAAATTACACTGCTTTGCATTTACTGAACAAGCAAAATATGCCACAAACCACATTTAACTCACTTCGCAGAAGCAATGACATTCAACCTTTGGGAGCCTTCATCAAAATCGGTTTGGATAATAAGTATCTTGTCCCCAGTGGTGTTTTCCAAATAGTTCCTGAATACAGAGAAAAAGGTTTCAATTCATTTAATTTAGAACAAATGTGCTTTTTTTGTTGTGATGTGACAAGATGTAATGATGTTGTGAGCACAATACTTGATTTTCTTGAGGAATGAGTGTTCCGTGTCAAATTGCTGAAGTGAGAGGAGCTCTATGTTTTGAACTACGTTCTGTAGCTGTTCAGTTTCTGCAGAGGTCAGAAGCCTTGAGAATGTAGTCACCTAAAGGATTAGAAAAAAGATTGCAAGCGTAGTGCACAAGTTGTTTCTTGCTAAGATTTAACTGTTATGAATTGCTCTAGAGCAGTGGTTCTAAAACGTTTTGTCTCCAAGGTCCCCCATTATCCAAGACAGTATTTAAAGGCCCCCCAATGTAGACTTAAGATATTTCTAGTGCTTCTGCTGTAATGAAAAAGCTGCTTGGCTTCAACGTCTTTATTTAAATAAACTTGAAGTGGCAATATATTAAAATAACTAAGTAAAATAATTATAAATATGTAAAATCAATATGTATGATTTTTAAATAAATATGATAAATATTAATAAATATGATATATATATATATATATATTACAGTTACATTGTGACTTAGAAAAAATCATTCAAGAAATTTCAATGACTTTTTAAAACTGTAACTGACTTTTTTATATAAGAATAAGGAATATGGTGCCAATTTGCATCTTGATTTTTAGCTGTTTTACCTTATTTTAAAGCTTGTTTTAAACCATCTATTGGAAGAATGGGCCCCTAGTCGGCTCTAGCCCCCAAATGAAAACCACTCTTCTAGAGTAATAATCAATCAAAGTATTTAAAATACTATAGCTTTACCTCTGTGAAAAAGGCATGGCTAGGCCCTGCTTGCTGTGTGTGAGAAAGGATGAAGTCAGCAAGGGAACTGTGCTTCTGATCTTCAAAGTATACCCTTGACAAGTGCTCACTTTCTACATTGGAGAGCAAAGTGCAGTCCAGCCGAACCACAGCATCTGGTGTTGCACAGTTTAAAAGGATCAATTTAGCCTCATCTAAGATCACTTTTCTAGGATCTGAGAGCTCCTGCCCTTTGAGTTGCTCTGTAACTTGCAGTACAACAGATGCACAAGTGTCCGAGTGGTAGCCAATGAAAGCATCAGCTGGAAGGTAACGGCGTGCTTGGGGAGCAATTGAGTGCTTGCCTCTAGCAGAAATTAAGCATTGAACCCACTGTTCAAGCTTCTCAACAAGGTCATTTAGCTCACTCTTTAGTACAGTATTGAGGTCAAGATAATGTTTCTCCAATCTGTTGATCAATGGAATGGGAAACTGCTTGTACACAATGTCCTTCTCTTCAATTACAATGAGCCTGAAATCTCTGTGCACTCTGCATTTGACTCTGTGGGTTCCAAGCCCCAAATCCACATATTTCTGGCCTCCCAGGCTAACGTAATATTGGTTGAGGGCATCATACAAGCTTTCATACAAGTTCTGCAAGTTCAAAAGCACAACGGTTTGACCAGTTTCCATACAGATCTTGACACGGTTAATGTTGCGGCATATCTGAGTATACTCCTGATCTTTCGGAAAGCTTGAACCAAAGATAATCTCTGGTTGGTACTGGTCTGAAAAAAATGTTTGCTGAAGAATTTGAAGGGCTGCATAGTTTTTGGTCAGAACCAGAAGGTATCTGCATTCCTCATCTTGTCCAATGGCTGTGATGTTCTCTCTTACAAGCTCAATGGCACTGGTAGTCTCAAGCTTGGGTTTGATATTTAGTCTGTTGGTGAAAACTGTGACAGCATCCACATTATCCTTGCCATTGAAGTTCCTCAGCACAGCCTTCACAATCTGCTCTGCACTAGGTTTCTGATCATTCGCTTTGGCAACGGCAAACATCATCTTTATCAAGCTGTAATAGTCTCGCAGGCCAAAAAACCCTTTTCCCTGTTTCTTACAGATGTTCAGGTAAGCACAGGCGAATGGCTGAAAGTAATCTCTCATCCTTTCAAGGATCATGGCATCCGAGGAACATATTCCTTTTGCACTCTCAATCAACTCCTTTTCATCAGGATCACCACGTGAAACAAATATCCCTCTATTCATTTTGGCTGGGTCCAAAGCCCAGTTCGAGATACCGATGAATCCCACCTTCTTGTGTGGTACCGGCTGATCATCTATGCATCCCTCTTCAAGCAAAGGATGTAAAGTTTTCAGAGGCATTTTCTGGGAATCCTCAGCCAAGCCTATCTCATCTAGAACTACCACTGAGACATACTCTGATAGATTCTTGCCTTCCTGAAAACGGGCACATTGCTTGAATGTATTGATGATACCATCTGGTGTTGAATGAGGACTGCACTGGAAGGAAACAAGATGAATCTGCTTCAGTTTTCTAAACAGATCAGAATGGGCTGCTTGGGCTTGCATGCCATCTGCAACCAGAGTTTTAGACAAGGACTTGGAGCTTCCAGGTTTTCCAACCAAAAAGAGAGGTATTCGTAATTCAATGCAAATCACCATCATGAAGACATTTTCCTTCAAGGCATTGTTTCGGGCAATGTTTTCACCCAGTGGAACACCACTCAGAAAAAGATCCTGAATAACTGAGATTTCTTGCATCACTTTCATTGGGGTGTAGGTCTCTGGAAGGTACCTGCAAAAAATGTTTCTGTATTTCTCTTTATCCTCCAAGCAAGCATGGTAACATACACCAACAGCCATAATTAATGACCAAAGAATTGGGTTTCTTTCATCAGTATCCCTCTGATGCTGATCGTTTTTCTCTGCCCTCTGATTACTCTCAAACTGGTCAAGCTCTGAGAGTAACATTGGGTGATTTTTGTAGAACCAGCCAAAAACTTGCATGCAACGCTCTACATCCCTCAGACTCACAAAACTACATTCATCCTGTCTTGTTCGCATATACTTCTGTGAGGCTGACAGAACATCTGTAATGGTTGTGATGTAGTCTGAATCAATGGAATGGGTTTCAGCTACCCTTTCGACTATTTGCTTGATGTACATTTTTTCAGTATGGTCATTGAGCTGTCCAAAGTCCCAAACTAGTGGAATCATACTAGGTGGTAAGGCCTGCACTCTGTACACTAGCTGGCGAAGTGGAATGGATCCAAGTTTTTCATCTGTTTCCTCAGCACGAACTCTGTATCCCAAACCAGCTGACTCCAATCTCTTGATCATTACATCTGTGTGTTTCCTGTATGGGTTGCAAGCGGCAATGATTTGCAAGCCAGTGTCACCTGTCAAATCCTGTCCCTCAGCAGTGTTGTCGCAAAGGATTTCCTTAATGCTGCTAATGGCCTCCGTTGTGTTTGCTTCATCAAAAAACAACACAGTGTCAAACCCATAATCCAGCTTGTTTCTTAATGCCATGGCCTCTGCTTCTCTCACTTTGGTGTAAATCATGTCTGAGCTTGTCCCTCCATGAACCTTGACTAGTTTCATGTTGTCAGTGGCAACTCCACTTCTGTGCATCTCACAAAGGAATTTGATTAGCCTGGTTTTCCCACATCCTGTCTCACCCATGATTATTACAGGAATCCCACAGTGGAAGCGCATGTGAATTGCCAACATTTTCAACATGTTATCTGTGGTGAGCTCATACGTTTCATCAGGGTCAAGAGGCCACTGTATTCCCAACACCCTGGAAAGTCTCTCAATTTTCTCCCATCTTGGGAGCTGGTCAAAATCAATATTAAAAGGAACTCTCTGTAGTTTGAGGCCCTCATAGAGCTCTCTGGTCATGATGTTCTGCTTGATCACTCTGTTTGTTGATGGATCAATTGCATCAATCCCATTCTGTGCATTTGGCTGAAGATGAAAGCCAATGAATGTCATGGACTCATGGTCATCATTGAAGAAAATATATGGATGTGGTTCTGACTCCCATCGTTTTCTTATCCTAAAGGGAGCCAGATCCTCTTCGTTGGCAGAAGAAAGGTCATTGTGCAGTCTCCCGGGACTCTGGTCAGAGATGCTAAGTGAAGGAGTGGCGAAATCCTTTGCCATGACAATCATGAAATCAACAACAAAATTTTTGAATCCCAACAGAGTGTCCCCTATGAATGAAAAATCACAGAAGACCGATCTTTCACAATCCCAAAGCTGTAAGTTCAGGAACCAAGCGAAATTCCGCAACTCTGCCCAAGAGGGGTCTACAATGCCGCAGTACACAAACAACATCTGCAGGCATTCAACATGAGTTCCCTCAATTCCTTGGGACATGAAAGCATCCAAATTGACACCATTGTAGAAACGATGCAGGTACTGATAAGGCCGTTGGTAGGCCTCACGCTGGAACTCTTGGTCATCCATTAGAGGATCATCACCCTGTTCTAATGATGGATCTTCCTGCATTCTCATTTCTAACTCAAGGACCTCTTTGGGTGGACGGCAGTAGACACTTGGAAACACATCCAAGAAGGCAGATGGAACTTTTGCACCCTAACATGAAGAGACAAATTAATTTATGAGGCATTTGTCTAATTAATGACAACAATTCCTAAGTGATTTAATGAGTTTACTTACAGCTCTTCGATCATTTTGGGATGTCCCAGGTCTTATTATCTCGATGACATACAAGTGCTTATTACTGCTTTTCCACATGTTTCCTTCTGAGTCCATAAGGTATCCAAGGATCAGCAGCCTGAACAGAAATTCATGAAGTCCTTTCTTTACCTGTAAGTAAATAAACAATAATGAAAAACAGCATCAACATTTCTTTCCATTTCAAAATAATAAAAATAAATAAAATAAATAAAAAATCTAAATCAGGTAGCTACCATGGTGGTGACATCTAAATGATAAACTGAAAGCTTTTTCTTGGGGCTGTTGAGCAAGGACTGAAGGATGACATTTTCATCAACTCTTGGCTCAATTAATCTGATGCACTTCAGCTGTGAAGGCTTCTTTGTGATCTTCTTCAATTTCTCATACATTCGTTTAATGTAAAGTGATTTTCCTAGAATGCACCACACAGATGTAATTTAGCATCTTACACTATTTGCAAAAATAAATATATTCATAAAAACAAAAAACTAAATCTTGCTTTTCTTTGTTTCTTGTAAGGGTACATTATTTAGCCAACACAAATTATGAAAACTAGCCAATTTTTAACTCCATTACTTGAATATATATACTCACCAACTCCTGATCTTTCTGAAGATACGATTCCCACACACTGTCTGTCTTTGAACACAGCAGCAGCACTGGATATATCAGCTGGTACTGTAAAATGCCTAACAAGGTATCGCTGAATACTGACTATTGGTTCTTGGGGAATTACGTGCAATCTAAATTGACTAAAAGCTGAAGGAAGGTATGCATGTTCTCTGTTAGAGCTGCAGACCAACACAAGCCTGTAATCTTTTCTGCTCCGTGCATTTTGATGCTGAAAAAATTGCTCTACTTTGTAGCTGACTTCATAGGTAAGTTGGTCCACATAGAGCATTGTGTATATTTTCTTTCCCCTGTAGCCAGCAAAGAGACAGCGCCTGAGGAAAAGTTCCACTTCTTCATATGGAGTGGAAGCACTACAGAGGAGTACTTCATCATAGGTTGGTAGAGGCTCATTCTTGCTGCTCATATAAATTGAAATGCAAGATATCAGAATTTCTTCAGGAGGGCAGATGATTAGATTTGGTCTTCCAGTAGCCATTCCATTTGGAAGTTCTCTCTGAATGTACTGTGTTCTCTCATCCTGTGAGGAATCACCCTCGTGTTCGCTGGGGCTGTTGGCCAAAATTTTAAGTAGATATCCAAGATTTCTGACATCAAGGGAGTCTGGCAGAAAATTGTTCATGTTCCGCATGTAAGCATTCCAAATCACATCTAGCTTTTTTGACCCAATATCATCCCCCAACTGGCTTGTCAAGTCATCAAACAATAGGCATGGCTCCTCAATACTCACATTCTCCATCATACTGGATACTTCCATGAAAGTTTGAAAGTCTAAGTCATCATTTTGCTCAGGACCCTTCTTAATTACTTCATACTGAAGCCTGTGCCAAGCCTGTCTCAAATCTGAAGTGGTGCAATTAGGTTTGATAAAGGAGAGCATCATAAGAACTTGATCTTCCACTGTAGCCACATTGCTCTGGGCGAGCTGATGGCACAGGTAGACTACCTGTTCTGCAGTATAATAGTTTAGGAAATAATGCTGAGATCTCTGCTTGTCCATAAAATCTTTCCAGAAGCATAGGCAGCTCTCCATTTTCTTACAGACTTCCGGCAACTGTTCTGTGACATTACCTTCCACCATGACGACATTGACAACATTCCCTAAATTGAAGTCCATAATGATGCATGCTTCTTTACTATTACAGTTAATGTTTGCCTCCCAGTGTCTGAACAATGGATTTCCAGCGACAAACAAATCAATGAATACAGAGCCCAACCTCTGTACACTGGCAAAGACCTGGAAAAATTAAAGAAGTTAATTTGGGAATAATTACAACAGCCATGGTAAAACATAACAGAATAAAACATCTAAAAGGTAAAAAGTCACCTCTGAAAACTGATCAACTTCACACTGGCCCTGATCTCCTTTGCCAGACATTAGCATCAATTTATTCTGAAGATCTCTGAGGTCTTCCAGAGAATAGATACGCCTCTCACAGCCCTCATCATGCTCTTCCATAATATGTAGCTTCAGAATATTTTCTAAGCACAACTGAAAAAAGCAATATTGAAGGTTTGATATTTCTTAAGTAATATTTGCATCAATTGTGCCATTTAATGATGATAAAGATAACTAAAAATAAGCATTGAGCTATTGCAGAATGTCACTGCTCCTCAAGGAAACTGTATAACTATCTAGCTAGAACCAGCTTAAGTGGAAGCTGTGATTTGGAACCTATTAACTGGTTTTGTAGTTAGTTCCAGCTGGTTAATTAAGTTTGTAATTGCTGGATTATCAGCTGGTGGGGACCTGAATGAGCTGGATGACCATTTTGGTCTTGCAACAAATCAGCTCCCATTTTTTAAATATCAGCACAACCACTTTCCAACTGATTTTTTTTTTCCAGCAAAGATCTTGATCAAGATGACCAGGTCTCCACCAGATGATAGTCTATCTTGTCAATTGCCTGAACTAGTTTGGAACTGGAAACCTGTGGCCATATTCACAAAATATCTTAAAGGTACATTACGTAAGATTTCGTAATAAAATATCCAAAAACTACTTGCACAGTGTTATATATTTTATGCAGTTGTGTATTTATGTTTTTCCAAAAGTTCCCAAGGATGTGTAAATCCAAAGAAATTCCAATTTTAAAGAATGACCCTGGTCATGGTCGCCAATCAATGATGTAATATCCGCATATCCTCAGTTTCCGGTTGTAGAAACTATGGCAACACACAGACACAAATGCTACTGTACAGTTAAACTAAATCCACTACGGCTGTCGCGAATAAAATGCAAATGAAATGAAGTGTTGACCGCAGCATTAAATTTAGATCTGCTCAGTGTTGCGCCATGATTTTTTTATGCGTTTTTACAGTGTTGTGCATTATAACCAATCACACACGCGTCTGTTGAGCTTATGAATGCAATGGCCAATCAGAGGCGTTCAGATGAGTTTTTGTTCAGTTCACACGCTCGCTGACTGAATTCAGTTCTCACGCGAATTCTCTCATCATAAACAACAAAGTGCAGATGTATGTATGATGTAAGAGATTCATTCATAAAACCATGTATAGACAGCTTTACTAATTATAAGGGGGAGTTTTTTGAGAGTGCTTAAACTTGTGCTAGACTTAAGTCAGTCATAATGTTCTTTGACAGTGTAAATGTTCTTTGCTTGCATTCTCTGTATAATTTATTCGCTGTTTGAATAGCTATGGAAGGTACAGGTAATAAAAAAAATTATTCATTACCTCATCCGTGAACATCCTCCTTCATAGCGTCATCAAACTTCGCCTTTGTTATTGTTTTGAAAATGCGACCTCTAGTGGCGAAAACTTACATATTGTACCTTTAAGGCTAAAAGTAGCTCCTAACTTGCTGATTTAGGAGAAAGTCTTAAAAATAATGGGTGTATCAGTCCTAATTTCAGGACTCCTTATTTTTTGCTCTAAGAGTCACAAAGCGTTTTAACGCTAAAATAAGCTCCCAAATCTATGAAAAGTTAGGAGCAGTCAAGAGGACTCCTAAGTCACTAAGACTAAATCACAAACCATCCTAAAATGGCTGTTTGATGTTTGATGATTGCGTTATTTTACATATGCACCTGCTTACATACGCGATCGCTTGTTTCTGCTTCTTTTTTGCTGTGTTTTGATCCAGACATTCAGTACTCTTTCCGAAGATGTGTAATAGCGCCTCCTACTGTACACCAGTGAAAACACGGAAAGCTGGAAATTTCCGTCAATGACAGGGAAAGAGATCATTTTTGAGCGGATGGCCATGTAAAGTTGCTACAACTTACATGCTTTAATTACATGTTAAAAAGCACACAAAAAAAACTTCAGAGAAGAATGATGGCACGACTCTCTACGAGGTTGAAAAGAGCGATGATCAAGCTGGATTAGCGTTACAAGTTAGCACTGATTTAAGTCCTCAAACTAGTAAAGTTGTGTAATCTCTGACATTGCGAGGACGATTGACTCTAAACTAGAGCTGACTCTTGAGAAAATTCAGGATGTTTCAAAAGAAGTGCAGTGTACTAATAATCAAGTGGAAGAAGCAGAGCAAAGAATCTTAGTTCTCGAAAATGCGGCTACTGGGGCTGAGAGACAAGTTGCGCAGATTGAAAAGACAATCGCTTCGCTAACTGAGCAGCTTAATGATAAAGAATATACATGATGATTAGACGAGTGAAGCTGGAACGAGCACACAGAATGGGAACTTCACAACTTCGTAGATCGGTAATGGGTGATGAACGCAGCGAGGCATCTGAAGGAGGTACGTTTTGAGGGGAAGATAATCCATTTTTTCAGGACTTTTTTGCGGAGACACAAAGAAAACGCAGTGGATTCGACAAGGCTACGAAGAGGCTCCAGGACATGGTATTTGGATACTACTTGACCAACCCTGCTACCATGAGGATAACAGCTGATAACTCCGTTAAGGAATTTAACAGCCCAGAGAAAGGGATGACTTTTATTGACTCTGCACGTTCCAACCATTGACATGAGCGATGCATCAGTGGTTTGATCACTGTGGTGTTTTTTTTTGGGTTTGAGCTCCGTCAAGTTAATTCTTTATCGTCTACACCATCATTTTCGTTTCTATAACGTGTGAATATATCCCCTATCGTATTCTACAACAAAAACAATCAAGAGCGCCTTGTTATCACTAGTTCTATTTTGATTTCCCGAGTCCGCTATTAGCATATAGCCCATTAGCATCGCCAGCGTGATTGCCGCTAATCTCGCTTACATTGCTAATACTCTATTCACACACATTACCATTGTTTTACTCACTGTTACTTGCTTTAATGGCAGATGTGTGTCTACATTTGAGTGCAGGTGAGGACACGTTCGAGCTGCATTCGGAGCTGGAGGCCGTGGAGAAGCAGATCCGCGACCTGGTTGAGAGGCAGACCCAGCTGAGAGAGTGGAGAGCCGCACTGGAAACATCCCGGGCTGACGCTCACAAGTCCGGAGTAAGTATACAGCGTGCTGCTAACTCTCCCAACCCCTTTACTCCGTGTTTTTCTCTGCACAGGCCCAGTTCATCCAGAACACGATCTTCCCAG